CCTGGCTAGAGAGTGCCCCTAAAAGTCAATTCCTACGACTCCGCAGAAATTGCTCAAAAAAATGAAGATTTCAACCAACAAGCGGAAATTCTAAAAAATAAATTCATAGAAAAAAAATTATTCAGAACCAGATCTAATTAATACAATCAATATAGTACAACAAAAAGAACGTAAAGATCTTTTAACCTACAAAAATAAAGAAAAAAATGAAGCAATATACCTTCCTGTGATTTTTAATTTTAATAATAAAAGCAATGACGCAAAAAGAATAATAAAAAAACACTGGCATATACTCAAACATGATGAGATACTTGACCCAATTCTACCCACTCACCCAAATATTGTTTTTAGAGGAGCTCCTAGTTTTAAATCTATTCTTACCACCAATTTTACCAAAGAATCCCCAACTAAGAACTTCTGTTTTTTTCCTCAGACAAAAGGTTTTTATAAATTCAAACAATGTATAGTGTGTAGAACAACAGATTATTCTATTTTATCTAAGACTACCCAATTTAGGTCTAATATAACTAAAAAGGTATATAACATTTATGATTTTACTGCTGTAATACTAAGAATGTCGTGTATCTGCTCGAATGCCCATGTGGCCTCCAATACGTGGGGATGACCACAAGTTGCTTAAAGATAAAATTGAGTGAACATTGCAGAAATATAAAGAATGGATACTTAAATCACACAGTATCCAAACATCTCAGTATGCATAATAAAGACCCAAATTTACTTAAATGCATTGGCATAAAAAAATGTTCTACCTCTTGGCGTGGAGGAGATATAAAAAAAGTACTGGGAAAAACTGAAATGGAGTGGGTGTATAACCTTAAGACCCTTATACCCCACGGTCTAAATGCAGATTTCGATCTACATAACTTTTTATGATTTTCTGTGTATATACCTTTAACTAGTTTTATCCTTACTATTGTATTTACCTATTGCTATTTTTTCAATTGTTTTCTATTGCTCTCAGCTATTTTTATTATTACTCCATTTTTAATCTCATTGTTTTTATTTTCTGCTATTCTCAGTGTTTTTATTATTTCATTGGTTTCATTGCTGAATAGTTACTTTTTATTATTTCATTGGTTCTACTACTCAAAAGTTACTATCTATATTATTTTATTGCTATTTTACTATTTAGTGTTCCAATTATATATTTTTTATGTGCAATACTGCTCTATTTTTTATACACTGACATCTGCCATCCACAATATGGCTGCTACTTCACCCCTTTTCCATCCCCAATATGGCCGAAACACATTCAGATTTCAAACCCATCCCCTTCCTATTCGGCATTACGGCCGCCATTTTCGGCCTAATACTACATTTCCCATGCGGCCGTTCGGCACTTCCGGTTCGCGGAAGTGCAGAAAAACATGTGACCAACTTCAATAATAAAATTAAACACATTCTCCCTTTCGTTTTTAAATCAAACATATTTTAAATAGAACAGTATTCATTAGATTTTTAAAAAATGTATTTATTTTAAAGGTTTAAGTTTGCCTAAAAATTATGCATTCTAATTGCAAGTACCAATTTTTGGCGCCCGTATTCAAATTAACTGTGTCCTATATAACCCCTATATGCCAGGTAGTAAATGTTATTCCATTTGATAAAGTCTTTGGTGACGAAACGCGTTATGGATATTTAATTGTGTTTTAATATTAAAGTTAATTTGGTTATTTATTTGTGCCAATTATCTTTTTTATACACATTGCTTTTATTTTTACCCTGGCTTTTTAATTATTTTTATAGTTATTTTACTGTATAATTTTATTATTATTTTTAACCATTTATTGGTTTGTACCAACAAATTGGAAGATTCCAGTACCCCAAGAAATCCTTAAGTGGGGATCAATCCACTTACGCTGTCATCATAGAGCAGTCTGCCTGCTCTCTATTTGTAAGTACGTTTTTTATTTAATTTATACCATCACCACTATACAGTGAGCACTATTGGTTGTCTCTTCTTCCTTCCGAGAATTGATCACCCGTGATGGAGAGATATCCTACCACATATATCCCATAAGCGGGGATTATACCGCTGTGTGCGCCTTATCTCAGAGCTGGACAAAAGCTCTTGTAAATGTGAGTTTTCCATTATTATCTCTCAATACGTCATAATTTGGATTTGATATACTGCACCATTGGTTGTCCGTCTTTTCTCTCTTTCATATAAGAGGACCCACCATTATATTTGAAGAATCAACCATCCTACCAGCCTCCCAATAAGACTATCCGTAAGGACTCACCATTTGGACTTTTTTATATTGGATTTTATCTTATTTTTATTTTATGTGGCGCAGCCTTTTTATTTGTTGTTACTTTTACTTAAATAGAATAGCAGGCCCTCTGTTTCCTTGTCTCTTTAAATAGAAATTGTCTCTTGTGTGGCGTATTCAGGTCCCTCACATTCAAAGAATATTTAAAACCATTTTTATTGCTTTAAACGAGCAAAAAGAAAAATCTGAAAAAAATATCTGATTGACCAGAAGCACATCACACAAGATCAGGAAGCCTAGTAAGCCAAACGGAATTGCAGAAGTAGCACCTGACTGAAAAGTTAACCGTACCATGCACATAGAAATTTTAATTATCTATATTGAACATAAACAAATAATGGAATGTATTTAAAATATGTCAAGGAATATAGAAAGCATGTAAAAAGAAAGGAAAGAGAACTGGCAGAAACAGAAAAAAGTATGAACAAAATATTTTTTTTTAAAAAAGGGCCAGAGAGGGAAAAAACTCTAAATATTCCTGCTCTTCCCATATACGCAAGCCCATAGATGGGATTGAAGAAAGGGCTAAGGCAGCTTTTCCCAATTGGTGGGTTCCGTGGAACACTAATTGGGGTTCCGCCAAGATTTTTTAAAATAAAATGTTTTTCGGGCGGCGAGGGAGCAGTGAGCAGTTATCTCCCTGCTCAGCTCCCTCGCGCGCACAACAATGATGCTGGAGCCGGAATATGACGTCACTCCGGCTCTGGCATCACCAAGAGGCACGCAAGGGAGCTTAGCAGGGAGATCACCGCTTCCTCGCTGCCTGCACGCCAGCCACATAGCAGCCCCACTGGACCCCGGGGACCTAAAGGTAAGGGGACTGGGTGGAGTAAAATGTATGTGTGTCTGTTAGGGAGTTTGTATGTGTTTGTGTGTCTGTCAAAGAGTAAATGTGTGTTTGTCAGTGAGAGTGAATGTGTGCTTGTCAGTGAGTGTGTGAGAGTATATGTGTTTGTCAGTGAGAATGTATCTGTTATTGTCAGTGAGAGAGTATGTGTTTGTATGTGTGTCTGTAAAAGAGTGTGTGTGTCTGAGTGTGTCAGTGTGTATCTGTGTGTCAAGGTTTGTGTATGTGTCACTGTGTGTATCTAAGTGTGTGTGTGTGTGTGTGTTTGTATGTGCCTGTGTGTGTGTGTATCTGAGTGTGTCAGTGTATATTTGTGGGTGCAAGTGTGTGTAAATATCACGGTGTATATCTGAGTATGTGTATCTGTGTGTCAAGGTGTGTGTCAGAGTGTATCTGTGTGCCACTATGTGCCAGTGTGTATGTGTGTGTGTATCTGTGTGTCAGATACATATACACACACAAACACAGATGCACACTGACACAGAGATACACAGATACACATACTTTGAAACATAGATACACACACCTTGACACACAGATACACACTGTGTGTCAATGTATATCTGTGTCAGTGTGGGTATCTGTGTGCCACTATCTGCCATTGTGTGTGTGTATCTGTGTGTCAGATTCATACACACTGGAACATACAAACACAGATACACACACCTTGACACACAGATACACACTGTGTGTCAATGTAGATATGTGTCAGTGTGGGTATCTGTGTGCCACTATCTGCCATTGTGTGTGTGTATCTGTGTGTCAGATTCATACACACTGGAACATACAAACACAGATACACACACCTTGACACACAGATACATACATACACACACAGTTACACACTGTGTGTCAAGGTGTCTGTATCTGTGTGCCAGTGTGTGTGTGTGTGTGTGTCAGATACACACACACACAGATACACACACTGGCACATACAAGCACAGATATACACACCTTGACACACACCGGCACATACAAAATGGCGCAATTTAAAAAAAAAATTCCGGGGGTTGGGGGTGTTCCACGATGTTGATACACTATGTCAAAGGGTTCCACTGGAAAAACTAATTGGAAACCCTTGGGCTAAGGACACCAACAATTAATGATCACTTCAAACAAAAAATGAGTGACAAACAAATGTAGCAATAAAAATAAAAAATCAGTGTAATTTTTTTTTTTTACAGAATTCAGAGAATGATGAAAAAAATTGCAAAGAACGACATGGTACAAAACATAATGAAAAAATGATGTCAGGGAAGTAAACATGCTATAATGAGAAAAAAAATTTAAATTATATATCATGAAACAATAAATCAAAATATGAAAGAATAAATAAAATATGAAAAAAAAAACTGTAAGTAGCTAAAAACTACTAATAACAAAATCTTAGACAAATTTAATCAATTACTATCTCTCTTTCTAATTTTTCCTGGAGGCCTTTGAGAACATTGGTCAGGCTTGTCAGGAGAATCGGGTTCCAGAACTTGTAAGCTTGAAAGTACATTTAGATCTTCTTATGGAGCCATTATACTATATTGAGGTCCATCAAAGTGAAATGTGATCATGACAGGGAACCCCCATCTCTACTTGATATTTCTTTTCCTAAGCTCAGGCGTAAATTGACCAAATTCTTTCCTCCTTTGGATTGTTGCTGGAAAAAATCTTTAAAAATTCTAATGTCTTTAAATATATTAGGAAGGTTGGTGGATCTAAGTGCCCAAGAGAATTCTTCTTTGATTTTGTAAAAATGTATCCTTTGAAATTGCAATTCTGAATCCTTAAACAATGGTCTGACTGAACACATCAGTGCCTTCATGTAATCATCCTTTTTATTCGTCAAGATAGCATCGGAAATACCTCTAATCCGTAAATTGTTTCTCCTACTGCAATCTTCCAAGTCCGCCATCTTTAGATCCAATTTGTGTTTTTTTGCTTTGAAATATATTTCCATCTCTTTCATTTTCTCTATGATATCATCTGGAATGTCTGTGTGTTTTAAGAGAGTGCATTCTATCTGTTCCGATTTTGTTTCCAAAACAGTCAATTTATTATTAATGAATGTCAAGTCCTTCCTCAGCTCTTCCCTTAAGTCTTGTCTTATTGTCTGGAGCATTTCCCAAATGAGGGCGTTTGACACCGGAGGACCATTAATTTTTTCTGTTGTCAAAAAAGATCTAGAGCTTGGTAACTCTAACGTGGACTTGCGTCCGTTGCCTACTTTTTTGTTTTTTTATTAAGGCTATATCCATTTGTTCCTGATCCGAATCCTCAGAAAGACTTATTTCCCATTCATCAGGAATACTGTCTTTTTTCACATGTCCATTAAATCAGAATTATTGTTAATACACATTTTGCCTTTTATAGGGAAAGTGGATTATTCAGTGCTATATGTGGCTGCCTTGGATTCGTGAGAATTGGAGTTGCGTTCGCCAAACAAATGAACCGCATTCGAAATAACAATGCTATTCTCAGTATTTGAATGAGACATAGCTGAACAATTGGCATTCATATGTATTTTGTGTAAATTCATGTGTTAGCGAGCCTCTGAATGCATAGCGTTTGCATGTTTTCTAGTAAGTTCTTAAAGATGCTTTCTCAACCTTTGGTGTTCATGAAGTTGTATGTGAAGGTCCCGAATGAGTCTCGCTCGCATGGCGAATGTCCCCCTCTATTGCTGTCTGTATATATTCAGTATCAGAAGAAACTCCTGAACAAGACTCCAACTTTTGCTGAACATCTGCATTAAATTAATCTGAAATAGATGTCCAAGTGTTTTCAGTTCTATCTGTCTAAGACGCTCTTTCGGCTCCAGGCTGTCACCAACTGTCACTTTTGCCTTTAATGCTGATTTTATGACAAAAATTGCCAGTCATCCTGATTAATCCACCTTGCTTTTTGCATCGTAGTATAATGATACTTTCACAGATTTTTCTTGTCTCTACTGTAATAGTGGGTGTTTAATATATTTTATCTTCAATAAAATTTAATTTGAAGGGTTATTGTCACATGAATTGCTCTATGTCCCAGGTCCTCTCTCAATAAGTCATCTCTGTTGCTGGCTAAGCTACAGAGGATGTGCTTCCTATCTAAAGAAATGGGTAAACATTATTTGGAGGGGCCAGAAAATAAGGATTAACAAGAGTAGATAGAAGGAAACCTACAATGGAAAGTGCAATAGCAGAGGGATAAATGTCAGAAATAGAGGAAGTAGAAAATAAAGAAAAATAGTAAAAGGAAAAAGAGCAAAGGGTGTGGCTATAGATGATAAGGCAGAGGAAAAGGGATTATTTATATATGCATTGGAAGAAAGGAATGAGATAGAAGGGGATCCCAACTACAGGGGAAAAACCTGATTAACAGGTAGGAGAGAAGGAGAAAGATTAACTACATAACCTGATGTGTAGTTCTTTTTCTTGTTGAAGACATTTATGCATTTCCAGTACATCTATTTTTGGAGTATTGTGACCTGTTTGGCTCTGTCCATTTGAATGATCCCGTACTCTGAGAGGTCCTGCATGTACAAAAGCAAAACAGAAACAAACATAAAAAAAATTAAATCATATTTGTTCCACCTACCTACCTTTTGCTCTGACCAGTCTTGTCCAAGCAAATAGCAAAAAAAATTAAAAATTTCAAGATTTCACTAGTAACATGACGTAAAGTCATGATTTTATTAATGACACGGAGGCGAGTATTATGCTTTCTCTTTCTTTATTATTCTCCTCAGCAGCAAAGAATTTAACTTGAAAGAGAATAAAAACCAAATAACATAAGTAATCTGCCTAGTAACAGGGCAGCCAACCCTATACATTCATCAACATTAAGTGTCTTGAACAATCCTCTAACTTCCTCTTTCTTGTCTTTCTCGACGAAGAGCAGTAGTAACTTGAACGTAATAAGTCCCGTAACTTCCCATAATTTCCGACGTTCTTCCTAGTTAGTTTTCAGTACGTTACGGTGTGGAAACAAAGAGAGTATATGGTAAAATCCAAACTTTGGAACTGTATGTTATCCTTATTCCTTATGTTCCTTATATCTGATATAATAATATGTTATAGAAGTTTATATGTGTACATAAAAATGGATGTTTTATATGTCCTAGAAAAAAATCCCTATTACTTACCTCTTGCGAGAGCCTTATGACTCTCCTTATTGGCTGTACCACGCCCACCGGGTGGGTGGGGATAATACTCACCTCCGTGTCATTAATAAAATCATGACTTTACGTCATGTTACTAGTAAAATCTTGGAATTTTATTAATGACACGGAGGCTCATATTATGCTAGTTCAAAGCTTGGCCACCACTTGAAGTGAGATATGTTCAATTGGGCGAAAATAGAATTCTCTGAACGTCGATACTTGCGACCAATCTGCCGCCTTTAAAATGTCCTCGAGGCGACACCCAATCGTTGAGGCTTTGGATGCCATTGCGCCTCTCACCGAATGTGCAGAGAATTTCGAGGTGTCAATTCCTGTTAGTGCTAACAAGTTCTTGACCCAACGAGCCAACGTGGGTGTGGATACTGGTAGAAAGGGGGTTCGAAAAGATATGAATAGTTGACTTGACTCGGGTGATCGTAATTTCTGAGTACGTTCTAGGTACGACCGAAGGCATCTAACCGGGCATAATGAAGAGTGTCCGGGATATCTCGGGTAAGAGATAGATTTTGTATTGCCTTTAGTTCTTCTCGATATGGAGAATGATACTCCCTCTGGGGTGAATGACAATGCGTCTCAGTCCAAGGCTCTCACGTCCGATATCCTCTTGCAGGACAGTAGGCATAAAAGTGTAAGTAGTTTCCAAGACAGGTGTTTAAGGGACAGTTCTTCATTTGGCATCCATTCTTCCAGGAAGTGTAAGACAATGTTGACATCCCAGAATGAAGAATAGCGGGTTTGTGGAGGTTTCTCAAAGCGTATCCCTTTCAGGAGTCTACAAATGAAGGGGTGTTGTCCAATCGGGGAGCCCTCTAGATCTTGGTGTCCTGCCAAGATCGCTGACCTATACACATTAATGGTACGGTACGCTTTTCCTTCTTCGAAAAGGGACGTCAAAAAATCTAGTACTTCTTTCAGAGATGCTGAAACTGGATCCACTGACCGTTCCATGCACCAGCTAGCCCACACTCGCCATGCGGCCGCTCTGGTCCCTGGAGCCCAAGAGTTGTCCATGAGTCTTGTAACCATCTGTGGAATGTCTTTGAATGTCCAGGGACTCCGGAAATCAACCAAACTGTGAGTTGAAGCAGGCCCTGATCGATTAGGTTGTGCGGGTTCCCCTCCGGGTCTAATAGCAAGTCTGGTCTCGATAGTATTATTTGTGGAGAGTCGATTGCCATTTCTAGTAGTCGAGGGAACCACGGCTGAGCGTGGTGAGATAGTGGAACCACTATCACTAGTGAACAGTCCTGTTTGCATAGGTACGATAGTGTCCTGGATATGAGATTGAAAGGGGGGAATGCGTAGTGCCGAGACTTCGGCCACTTCTGTAGGAAAGCATCCGTCCCCAAGGCTTTTGGATCCGGTCGCCAGCTGACGTATCGTGGCAGGTGACTGTTCAGTCTGGATGCAAAGAGGTCTATGTCTAGTGGTCCCCATATTTTGTTTATCTGGCGAAAGGTAGAGCCGAGAAGATGCCAGTCTCCCGGATCACGCAGGTATCTGTAATTCCAGTCTGCTTGTACATTGTCCAAGCCCGGAATGTGTTCGGCTGTCACCGCAATCTCTTGTGAAGGCAATATTGCCAAAATTCCTTCGCTAGGTTTGCTAGTTGTTTGGATTTGGTGCCCCCTAGATGATTGATATAGCGCACTGCCGAGATGTTGTCCATACGGAGCAATATACAACATCTCCCTACCGTAGGGGAGAGACTGCGGATGGCGAATGATCCTGCCAGAAGCTCCAGGCAATTTATGTGTAGTTTGGATTCTTCCTTGGACCATCTGCCACCGGTGGATATGTTGCCACAACGTGCGCCCCAACCATGTAGGCTTGCATCCGATTCTATAATCAGGTCCGGGCTGGTTCCGAATATTGCTCGGCCGTTTCACGCCTCCATATGGTCTAGCCACCAAACTAGCTCTTCCCGTGATTCCACATCCAGAACTAGTGTGGATTCGTATGAATGGCCGGATCTGAGGTGAGAGCCTTTTAGCCGTTGTAGGGCACGATAATGTAGGGGCCCTGGGAAGATGGCTTGTATCGAGGAAGCTAGTAGTCCTATTACTCGGGCAAGTTGTCGAATGGAGAGGAACTGAGCTCGTAATGTGCGTCTGATCTCTTTTTTGATGGCCTTCAATTTCATTTCTGGGAGGAGTAGGAATTGTGAGATGGCGTCGATCTGGAATCCCAGGAACTCTATCTGTTGGACCGGGTTGGTTATGGATTTCTCCCAATTTATCATAAAACCCAGAGCCTCGAGTAGCCGTATGGTCCATTGTAGGTGGTGCAGTACTTGGTCTTGTGAGGATGCCATGATTAAAATATCATCTAGATATATGATCATACGAACTCCTCGTGCTCTGAGAAAAGCTACCACTGGCTTCATGAGTTTTGTGAAGCACCAGGGTGCTGAGGACAACCCGAAGGGTAGACATGTAAATCTCCAACGTCGCCCTTGCCATGTGAAGTGCAAGAGGTCCCAGTATTCCTCCGCAATAGGGACGGTGAGATACGCGTCCTTGAGGTCTAATTTGATCATCCAGTCTCTTTGTTGTAATAAATCTCTGAGGCAATGAATGCCTTCCATTTTGAAGTGTTGATATGTGAGGAATGCATTGAGTTCCCTTAAGTTTATAACTTGCCGCATACCCCCTCCTTTTTTGGCTACTAAAAATAGGTTGCTGGTAAAACCCGGTGTATCGTATGGGATCTCTTGGATTGCCTGTTTGGTGTGGAGGTCTGTAATCTCCTTGGTTATGAGTTTGGTTTGGTCTGGGGGTAACGTCAGTTCTCTTGGGACATTTGTTTGGAATGGGGTAGATATAAGGTCGAGGTAAAAACCTCTGACTGTGCTCAAAACCCAAGCGTCTTTGGTGATCTTGTCCCATGCATGTGCAAACCTTGCTAGTCTGCCCCATGTTTAGGTGTGAAGGAGGGAGAGATATTGTACTTACCGTAAGGGCGCCTGTACGTAGATTGTCTACGGTTTCCCCAAGTAGTCCATGGACGTCCCCTGGACGGGAAGAAGGGTGACGGCCGGAATTCCTGGTAGGTGCGGGGTGCACCGAAAGAGCCTCTATGGATCCTGGAGGGACCTCGATAGACTTGGCCGGGTGGACGGCTCCTAGATCTCCCGGCCCCGTGTAAAACCTTGGGGCTAAATACTCTTGTAAGGTTTGCCTGAGCCTTGTCTAAAGTGGTAAAGGTTTTTACAAAAGTTCTGATGTCTTTGACAAAGGATTCTCCAAATAACATTCTTTTAGCTGTGGGCCCAGGTTCTCTATTTGCCAAATTAATCAGCTTAGGTTCAATCTTCAAAATAGATTTACGGCGTTCCACCGAGATGGCTGTGTTGGCATTACCCAACAAGCAGATAATTCTTTGGACCCAGCCAATGGCTTCATCGGAGTCCATGGTGGTCTCTCCCGCTTTAGCGGATTCAAGTAATTTGTATAATTTCGTGGTTGGCCCCAGGGTGTCTAGTATTTTATCCTGGCAGCTGTGGAGCGAGAACTCCGGTCCCTTTTTGGGCTTCCAGCCAGATTTTGAGAGGAACTGGGTGATATGGGGGTCCACCATAGGGGTTTTGCAGTCAAGGTCTGGTACGGAGGGTCTGGGACACTCTGCTCGGAGTTTATTCCTACTCTCGTTAGAGAGAGGAGTACGCATACGGAGCGCCAAATATTGACCCTGACCCTAACTCCTCACTTTGGTCAGAGTCTGACCTTTCGTATTGGGCACCTGCCCGTTTCTAATTTCTGGCCGCTTGCGCCCGGCTAGTGGCTCTTGTGCATGGCAACATGCCATCTGGGACCGCCATAGGTGGGTCAATCAGGGCAGGGGATACCTGCATTAGTGGGAGTGTCGATGTATGTTTAGTTTTGGCTTTTGCTTTGCGGGCCGCAGGGACTGTTGTATCAGTTTGGGTCGGTATAATTGGCTGCAACTCTGGGGGTAATAGAAGTGCTTGTGCCAGGGAGTGGGAGATTGAGGATGACATAGTCCCCATGGCCGAAGCTAGGGCTCGCTGGACCGAGCTGGCCATAGTGGACTCCAGGAGAGACTGGAATTCTTGAGAGGGTAAAATACCAGGGTCTAGGCCAGGGGTGGTCAAGGTAGTCTCAATGTTAGGGCAGCCAAGGCCTTCAATTCTCTCTCTGTGATTCTGTATTTTATTTAGGTAACTTATAGCAGAATGCCAACTATTAGTAAATCTGTATAGGTGTGCTAGGGCAAGGAGAGTCAGATATCTGGTTTCTCACACCAGTATAAGTAAAATAGGTAGGTGAGTACCCCCTAGTAATGGCCTTAAAATTTTTGGAGAGGGTTCCTTTAATCCAGCACTAATAAAACTCCTAGCACACAGCCATTAGTAACTGTAAGTACAGTGAAGAAAAAACTGTATGGTGAGAGATGGGGGAAAGGGAGTCCAGAGCTCTCAGGGTTAACAGTGAGAGCTTTTTAGGGATTGATTAACCCCAACAAAAGTAACAGATAGGAGTAAAGATATACAAACTTGCGTACGGAGGACAGCAGGGTCAAAGCTAGGAGCCGTTCATAATTCCCGCGCTTCAGAGGAGAGAAGCGCGCCGAAGGTGATTAGCTCCGACCACCTAGCAATGGCCGCGAGTAAAGGGAATCCTCGCGGTCCCAGACCGCCGGGCGGAAGTAAGCCCGGGGAGAAACAGAGTTGCTTGGCACCCGCTGGTTTATATCTAAGCGGGTGCAGGCAAATACAGTGAGGGAGGAGGGCACTAGTGAGACCGCAGACGCGCGGGCGGTGCGGTCTCACAACCTGTCCAACCCCTCTCAGCCCTGTGTGGAGGAAGAGCCAGGGAGAGAGGGAAAAGTGTCTGACCAACAAAATATAGCAGTGTAGGAGACACTGCAATACAGTCCCCTGTAACAGGGTAACATATAAACAGAAAATACTTTAAAACTAAATAATTAAAGTTATATAAATAAGAATATGTAGTCTAATGTGAGGAGTACAGAAAAAATCTACTTATCTGATCTGAGGAGCAGCAAGAAAGAGGAAGTTAGAGGATTGTTCAAGACACTTAATGTTGATGAATGTATATGATTGGCTGCCCTGTTACTAGGCAGATTACTTATGTTATTTCGTTTTTATTCTCTTTCAAGTTAAATTCTTTGCTGCTGAGGAGAATAATAAAGAAAGAGAAAGCATAATACTCGCCTCCGTGTCATTAATAAAATCAGTATCAACCTATTTGGAGGAAGTTAACCCTTAATATGTTCCTTTCCTACTTGTACAAGAGGGGTAAGAAGTAGGGACGTTGTTTCAACTACAGTTTTGTTTCTCATCAACATGACTGTGTTCTGAAAAGAATAATGTTCATATAAATATAAATTTATATATGTGTCTTGAAGGATGAATGTGTGTATATATGTGTGTAAATATGTAAGTGGCATCCACGGAGACAAAGAGATACACAACTTTCCCAGGGCAGTCAGAACACATTAAATACTTGCCATGGGGTCACTACAGAGGTGGTATACCTACATTCACAGTCAGAGTAGTAATTCAATAGAGCATAGCCCAGTAACATAACTTTTGGTACTGTACTTATAGTGTACTAAAGCTCTGATGACTCTCTGCCAACCACAGACAGCTAAAGCACTCTGGGATGCCCATTCCTGAACAACTGGAATCTGATTAGTAAACCACCCCTCTAAATGCCTATGTTACTGTACCTTGTTTGGGTGGGAAGGGAGAAGTTTCTTTCTTTAGCACAATTTTTTTTACATCACCCAATTTTTGTAGTGATTCCCCTTGACTTCCAATGCATCCTGTTGCTTTCATTCACCTGTATATACCTCATTTAACCATGTTATAAGGGATATCTATGACAAATGGGTGCAGTTACTGAGGTGGAAAGGTTGTAGGGATGCACAGGTAGAGTTTATTGTGCTGGGTAGATAGCTTAAAAAGCTATCAAGTTGTAAGAGATCCTAACCGATCTGTGCATCAATTGAAGATTATGCTAGCTTTAGTGTACAGATAATCTTAATTTTAATAATGACAGGAGGCGAGTATTTTGCATAATCTTTCTTTACTATCTCCATAGCAGCAAAGAAATGAGTGACAAAACTTTTAACCAATCACAACGTAGAATAGGGTATAAGAGGTGAGACCTATGACATCATTTCCTCTTTTAAACTTGCGACATCACAAGACCAAAAAGTAGAAAAAATTAACCGAACAGCTGAGAAGTCCATAGAACAAGAAACTGGAAACTTAATCAGAATAAACTGAATCGGAACAGGTAGAATGCAGATGAAGACGTGTCCTTGTCAAACGATGGTCTACGAAGACCTGATGATGAATCTCCTGATGCGATGATGACGACATCTTGCAAGGAGACTTTAATGATTCCGTGTAGCTCCTGGTTAAGCTGAAACGAGAGTATAAGGTGCGTTAGAGTCCAGAAGTGATTGTATAAAACAAAGGATGTCTGTCCCGTAATTCAACTTTAATATCGTCTAGTAACATGAGAATAAAATAAACTAAACGTCCTCCCTAGCGGTGTTAAATAAGTATCCCACCCAAACAATATAAATATATAAATCTCTATGATGTAAATAAGGCAGTTAAACAAGAGCTATCGTGTCAGGTATTATACCAACATATGAGAGAGCAAAGTGTAGTAGGTAGAAGTGAAAATAAAGGGAGGGAAGAACGAAAGAGAACAGGGAGGGAAAATACTCGCCTCCTGTCATTATTAAAATTAAGATTATCTGTACACTAAAGCTAGCATAATCTTCAATTTTATCACATGACAGGAGGCTTCGTATTTTGCAATTTCAACGCTGAGAAAGAAAAGCAAATGCCGGATTATCAAGAGGACGAAAGTAAAATGTCCTAAAGGTAGATTCTCTGGTCCAGTCCGCTGCTCGTAAAATGTCAGAGAGGGACGCGCCTGCCGCATAAGCGGAAGAGGCCGCTGCCCCACGAACGGAGTGTGCTCCAAAAGTTTGGTCAATACCGGCAAGGGATAGTAGCCACCTGACCCATCTGGCCAGTGTAGTAACCGAGACCGGACCATAAGGGCGGACGTAAGAGATGAGAAGTTGATGAGTGGAAGGTTGCCGCAACGTCGCGGTGGCTTCCACGTAGTGACGGAGGGTTGAGACCACGCAGAGTTGAGGGTCAGAAGGGAAGAAAGGGTAGAAGACCGAGAGAGAGTTGGACTTAGTGCGACGTGAGATCTGAAAGGTGACACCCGCCGGACAGAAAGTAAACGCGTTGGCATCAAAGGCGCGTACGTCCGCTACCCGTCGAAAGGAAACCAGACAGAGCAGGAGGGTGAATTTTGCGGTAAGTTGGCGGAGTGATAGTTTTTCGTTGGGAGGCCAATTACGTAAAAATTGAAGGACCACGCCAACGTCCCAGAGACTAGAGTATTTAGGTTCCGGGGGGCGCCGTAGGCGCATACCGCGGAGAAGTCTGCAGATGAGCGGGTCCTTACCAACAGGAATCCCCTGTATCGGAGTGTGAGCCGCTGAGATGGCTGACCGTACCACATTGATGGAACGGTATGACTTTCCTGCGGTGAAAAGTGAAGTTAAGAAATTCATGATGGAGTGAGTAGGTGCAGTAAAGGGATTGAGGTCCCGTCCCACACACCAACTTGTCCAGGAGTGCCATGCTGATAAGTAGCACCTCCTAGTTCCTGGTGCCCATGAATCCCATAGCAGGTCCTTAGTTTCCTGCGATAATTCTTCGGTTCTCCAGGAACCCCGGAAAGAGTCCAGGCCACAAGGGGCAAGCGTTCCTGCAGGACTAGTGGGTGAGGAAGGCCCAATGGATTCCTGAGGATGGTTGGGGCATCTGGAAGGAGGAGGGGGTCGTTGATTGAGAGTTCCAGAAGGTCCGGAAACCATGGCTGGCTCTGCCAGAGCGGCGTGATGAGAATTATTCTCACTCCCTGTAGACGGATCCGGTGAAGGACCCTCGTTATCATTGCGAAAGGAGGGAATGCGTAGGCGCCGTCCCTTGGCCATTGTTGGAGAAAAGCGTCCGTTGCGAGGCTCTCCGGGTCTGGGAGCCAGCTGAAGAAAACTTCTGTCTGTCGATTGTTGCGGGACGCGAAAAGGTCTAGGTAGAGAGGTCCCCTCTGTGCATCCAGTAGCGCGAAAATGTGAGGGTCTAGCTGCCAATCGCTGGCGTCCCGCCAGTGGCGTGAGTACCAATCCGCCGTCGTATTGGAGTCTCCTGGTAAGTGCTCTGCCAGCAAGGTGATGTTGCGTGGTAGGCAGTAGTCGAAGATCTCTTTCGTGAGATCCGCCAGTGTTCGAGAACGAGTGCCTCCAAGGCGGTTGATGTATCTGACCGCTGAGACGTTGTCCATGCGGAGTAGGATGCAGCAGTTGGATCGGTCCTTTGCCAGGCTGCGAATGGCGAAGGACCCGGCCAAGAGTTCCAGGCAATTTATGTGCATCGAGAGCTCTTCGGAAGTCCAGACTCCTCCTGTGGACGTGGTTCCGTCTGTTGCCCCCCAGCCTGAACGGCTGGCATCCGATTCCAGCACGAAGTCTGGCTGGTTCCCGAATATGGCCCTGCCATTCCAAGCCTGCATGCAATTCAGCCACCAGTGTAGTTCTTCCCGAACTTCGACCGACATTGGAACCGGTTGGTCGTATGTCGGTTGTCTGCGAAGGAAACTTGCCTTGAGGCGTTGCATGGCCCTGTAGTGCAGGGGCCCGGGAAAAATGGCCTGGATGGACGCGGAGAGAAGGCCTACGATCCGTGCCAGTAATCGTAGGGGTATGGTAGTCCGACGAAGGACTTTCCGGATCTCCCTGCGGATTGCCGTAATTTTGGTAGCCGGGAGGTGAAGAGTGCATGATGTGGAGTCTATTACGAATCCGAGGAATTGAACAGATTGAGCCGGAGTCAATGCGGACTTGGGACGGTTGACGACGAAACCCAGAGAGTCCAAAAGGTGTAGTGCGTATTCCGTATGTCTCCGCAGAGTGTCTGCATCCTCGTCGAAGATCAGGATATCGTCGAGGTAGATGATGCATCTTATACCTTGGGATCTGATTTTTGCCACTACCGGCTTCATGATCTTGGTAAAACACCACGGGGCCGAGCTGAGGCCAAACGGGAGACAGGTGAACTGCCAAGGAATCCCGTGCCAGAAGAAGCGGAGGTAGGGACGGATGCTTCTGTGTACCGGAATGGTAAGGTACGCATCTTTGAGGTCCAGACGAGTGAACCAGTCGTCGCGTCGAAGCAAGTCCCGGAGGAGGTGTATACCTTCCATTTTGAAGTGTCGATATACTACATGTGAATTGAGCTCCCTGAGATTGATAACGGGGCGAAATTCGCCTGTTTTCTTCCTGACCAGGAAGATATTGCTGTAGAAACCGGTGGCATCCGGAGCCGGTTGAATGGCACCGTTGGAGCGGAGTTCTCGGAGTTCCGCGTCTATGAGGCGGGCATCTGCTCGTGTAGTCTGGATTGGACGTGGAGGGGTCAGCTGGAGCGGGGTCGAGTCGAACTCTATTCGATAGCCCTGCACCGTTTGGATTATCCACGCATCTGAAGATAGTTCTTTCCAGTTCTGGAAAAAAAGAGAGACACGACCTGCGATATGACAGGGGGTTAGAGGAAGAGTTAGATTCCGACTTACCGTTGGAGAATCTTGCTCGTGAGCGTCCTCGGGTGCCTCGGCCACGATCAGATCCCCTGAAGTGGTTGAATCTATTTCGACTAGATGAGTCTGGGTAGAACATCTGAGTCCTTGTTGTACGGGGGCCGGATGGCCAAAAACGGCTGGCGGCACGGCCCCTCTGCCGTCCAGCCCTTCCAAAAACACCACGGGTGTGGGAACCGTGGAAGACTTTCCGCATTGAAGATTGTGCCTTGTTAAGGGACGTGAATATGTTGACCCTTTTATTTAATTCCTTAAGGAAGGCCTCTCCAAATAGTTTACCCTGTGCTAAGGGTCCTAATTCCTTATCCCCCAGTTCGACCAGTTTTTCGTCGATACGGTAAAGTGCTGCTCGGCGCCTCTTTGAAGAGAGGGCTACGTTGGTGTTCCCTAAGAAACAGAAACACCTTTGTTCCCATTCACGGGTATCTCGTGCCCATTCACGCACCGTATCTGGGGTAAAAGTGTCAGCCCTCTCATAGGCTTCATCCGCCATATCCATGATTCTGGCTAGTGGCCCAATGGCATCTAGCAGCTTATCTTGCGCTCCTTTAAAGCCGCGCTCTATGCCCTTGCACGGATCCCGACCCCCTTGGGACATGAACGTAGTCATGAGCGGGTCAAACTCGGGGGTGTGCGTCACTTTGTCCGGTAGACTAGGGCGAGGGCATTCGGATCTCATCCGGTTTCTAACCTCCTTGTCTAGCGGTTTTCTGAGCCAGAAGTGCATAAACCTTGCCAAATGCTCAGGTGGAGACCATTCTTCCGAACGGGGGTGCCCTCCTGTGGGTTATCAATGGATGTTGCCATGGAGTCCTGGGGCTCACCCAGACCCTGTTCCCTTATGAAGTAAGGGTCAGAGTTGGCCGTGGAATCCCTGTCAGAGTCCCCCTGGTCAGAGGCTGCCGCCTGCCATTCATCCAGCACAGCTAGTGCCTGAGTGGGTTCTACATCTTCCTCACCTGAGGAAAGTTGTGTGGCATCGTGGGTAGCACGAACCGTGGCTTTCCTGCGATCAGCAGGGGCTTTCCCTTTAGCCTTGCGTGGGGTTACATTGCCCTTCCAATGGCGTTTTCGCTGTTGGGAGTGTTCCCTGGAAGAGTCAGAGTCTTCGGAGTCCGCCTTATAATGAACCCGTTTAGAGGTGGGCCTGGGAACCTCAGGGTTTGTTTGGAGCGACTTGGAAGCGGCTTGTTCCATGGCTGCAGCCACGGCTGCTGTTATCATGGCCTGGAGGTCTGGGGTTTGTGATTCCTCCATTATGAGGAGTGAGGATTCGGGGCTCACCCGGTAAATTGCGTGAGGGCACTAGGCACGATTAATGGAGAGGCCTGGGGACCGGGGTGGTATGGTATCAGGACTAAATAACCTGTGGTTAGAGACCGGTAGGTCGTAGAGGAGAGGGCTGATTCACTGGGGCTCACCCAGGTGATCGGAACCTGCATAAACAGGACCGTTTAGCAGCGTAAAATGGGGGCTCACCCCGGCCAGAATAAGGTGCAGACCAACTGGCTAAACCAACCCCAAGTGTAAGGCACTAACCTGGTCCCACTGAGTGAAAAAGGGTAAGGCTTTCAATTGCTTGTTGGAATAGCAGGAGCAGAAAAATCAGGCAGTGTCTATCTCTTTAAGATGGCCGCCGGACTGACAGGCTCAGTGTGTGGAGAATAGTACCTCCCCCAGTTTGGGCGGCAAACTGTAAGCTTGCCATTCGCATAAAACTGCCGAACGTGAATAGAAGATCTATGCGAACTGCCGAACGTGCGAATAGAAATAGATGCGAACGTTTAAAAAGGCGATCGCGTCAAACTGCCGAACGAAGCGTTCGGTAGTTAGAAACGAATAGTCAATGTGCGGTCGCGCGGGCATTCGAGTAAAACAGGCGAATGCGCAAAACTACCGAATAACGCGTTCGGTAGAAAGAACAGAAAACTGTTAAAGAGAAACAGAGAAAATGGAGGAAAAGTACAGACGGCGGGAAAGCCGTGAAAGACAGTTAGGGAGCCAGACAGGGTCCCCTGGTATACAGGGGTTAAGAGCATTAATAGGGTAAATATATAAAGGTACAGTGAAACAAAAGGTCATGTAAATGAAAAGTGTATGTTGAATAGATAATACAAAATTTGGTACTTAGCTTGTGATGGAGCAGCAAAGAAAGAGGAAATGATGTCATAGGTCTCACCTCTTATACCCTATTCTACGTTGTGATTGGTTAAAAGTTTTGTCACTCATTTCTTTGCTGCTATGGAGATAGTAAAGAAAGATTATGCAAAATACGAAGCCTCCTGTCATGTGATAAAATTTTATTTTTTTTCTGCAAATCGTGCTGTCCAACTCCTGATAGCATAAAGGATACTGCCCTCTTGCAGGGCACGTTCTTTTATAAAATTTGCCCCTCCCACCATCATTTCCAGTCCTGGAGGGACCACCTCATTCTCGTACTTTTGGGGATTGCAGGAGTGACGTGGCCAATTAGTTTGCACATAAGAATATACAAAGGAACATTACACCTCTTTCATTGCCCTATCATGGTTTCTATTTCTAGTACCTGATTTGTGCTTTTATATTCTTGTTTCTTGATTTTCTGGTTTAACCTTGGCTTGGTTCTGTATTTTGTGTACCTCTGTAACCCTGACCTTGCTAATATGTGGGTTATTCTAATTTCTGTGATCCTGACTCGGCTAGCTATGCCGGTTATCTACAATCCTGACTTTGATCTCTCTCTTTTATATGTTATGCCTGGCCACTCAAAAGTCCGGTAACACTGTCTTCTATGTCTGTTGTCCCATGTTCTATGTTTCTGGGCAAACTCACCTTGGCACAAGTTCAGCTAAAGCTTGCTTTAAATTTGTTTATAGAGGAATTTGAAACATGCTTAGATCTAAAGTGAAAAAAGAGTTTGTAGGGTGTTATTTATAAAGCATGGTATTCATTTTTTTGTGATTTAGGGGCCTTTTCCCTTCCTAATGTATGCTTTCTCTTATATCACGTAATGTGATGTCACACATATATAATTAACTATGTAAATTAGCACAGCCTGAATTTTTCCAAGTTAGGTGGCAACCCTCCAATCTAAACACATAAAGCACTTTAGCTTGCTGGAGTACTTTATGTGTCTGGAATCTGTCATTTTCTTGAACAGTTTTTAAAGTGCCAGTTTCATTCAGTTAGCCCCAGTGGAGCCTCTTAAATGACTTCTCATCTTTCAGTGGCAAGAGCAGGCATTCAGTTGCTCACCATGTAAATAAATCTGCAACTCATCTTGTGAATTCAGAAGATTGTCTTCCTCACACAATCCAGACCTATTCACAATGTCAGATGTATTTCTTATAACAGAGATATGAACATCTCCATGTGGCAAATTAGCCACAGATGCAGATAGCCTTTCATGTACAGCTTATTTTGTATATGCACTGCAGTATGAAGAAGGTTTAGCTCAGTGGCCAGTGATAGGTTAAAAACACTAGCTGTCTCTTTCAGCCTGGCCCATTGAGCAAAACAGTGCATAGTTTTTCTCCTACAGGGTACCCAGTGATAGGCTGAGAGTATACTGTAGCCCTTCTCTTGATTTGTATAGGTTATGCTTTTCCAATTAAGAATTTCAGAAATAATTAATACATTTCACACAAAGTCAGCTGCCCTATTCAATAACTTTCATTGAGTTCCTCATTTCAATTTCAGGTTCTAGCCATTGTCCTGCCAATTCTTATTTAGTTAGTTAAGACATTGTGAGTACGAACCAGTAGTGGCATTTATGTGTTAGGACGCTAATATCAAACCATTATCCTTCTCCCTAAGTCGATAATGGTCCGAAATGCACTATTAACACAGCACCACAGGAACCAGACTGTAAACTATATCTGAAGGGCATGCAAGGTTATCATTAGTCTGAATTTAAGGCATGTCTACAAAAGGAGTATAGACATTATATTATCTTTGTACTTATTAAATACTAACCAATTCAGGCAAGGGAATGACCTTGAGATTCACTCAACCCTCTTGTTTCACAATATACATTCTTTCTAACCATTTTTCTACAGATAAGTTTGCTATTTTCTAATGTAGTGTATATATGTATATACAGTATCTCACAAAAGTGAGAAAACCCTTCACAGTTTTGTAAATATTTTATTATATCTTCATGTGACAACACTGAAGAAATGACACCCTGCTACAATGTAAAGCAGTAAGTGTACAGCCTGTATAACAGTGTAAATTTGCTGTCCCCTCAAACTAACTCAACACACATCCATTAATGTCTAAACCATTGGCAACAAAAGTGAGCATACCCCTAAGTGGAATGTCCAAATTGTGCCCAATTAGTCATTTTCCCTCCCCAGCGTCATGTGACTTATTAGTGTTACAAGGTCTCAGATGTGAATGGGGAGCAGATGTGGTAAATGTTGTGTTATCGCTCTCACCCTCTCTCATACTGGTCACTGGAAGTTCCACATGGCACCTTGTGGCAAAGAACTCTCTGAGGATCTGAAAAAAATAATTGTTGCTCTACATAAAGATGGCCTAGGCTATAAGAAGATTGCCAAGATCCTGAAATTGAGATGCAGCATGGTAGGCAAGACCATACAGCAGTTTCACGGGACAGGTTCCACTAAGAATAGGCCTCACCATCGTCGTTCGAAGAAGTTGAGTGCGCATGCTCAGCTTCATATCCAGAGGTTCTCTTTGGGAAATAGACATATAAGTGCTGCCAGCATTACTGCAGAGGTTCAAGGGGTGAGGGGTCAGCTTGTCAGTGCTCAGACCATACGCCGCACACTGCATCAAATTGGTCTGCAGGGCTGTTGTCCGAGAAGTAAACTTCTTCTAAAGATGATAAACAAGAAAGCCCACAAGCTTTAAGTCCTTTAAGAGATCCCTCTCTACATACCTCAAAACAGAATGCACCTGCCATGGTTGATGATATATTTCCTACCTGTTCTATGTAGAATTCTGTATATAGTGTTGTTACGAACGCTGGTAGTTATGTTACCTTGTTCGCCTATTCCTCCCGAACTACTGAGCCATAGTGATTATAGCTGCAGTTCGGGTGCAGTTATGAATAGTTCCAGACGAATGCAGCTTCCAAGACGGTTCTCCCCAGCCAGTAGATAGTTACCCAAACATGAGACTAGACTTCATGAAGGATACAACAGGAATGTAGGTTTATTGATGCCACACTGGCTTTTATGCAAGTCCCCATGCAAGGGTACCTCCCACCTGGACCTTGTTGGGCACCAGGACACAAAAGTTACAACCAATAGTATTACATTGACAAAGTGAAACACTCCCACTGCAAACATACAATCCCCTCCTCTCTGCCTGTGAGATAATTAGGTAAGCTAAGGGATAACCCAATTATCTCCAGGCAGAAAAAACATATTTTCCCCAAAACTTGGAACGTACCCTAAACCACATGGTATCCCCATAAATGACATCCCCTGACAGCCCTGGTCTGGGTGACCAACATATTCAAAAATCACCCAGATCGGTTCAGGGGTTTTCGAAATGTATGGAAGTCTCATTTTAGCGACCGCACACGAGGCACCTGCTCAAAACAGTTCCATGAATTCAGTATGTGCGGTCGGTCTATTTCGATAAAGTCAAATAAATGAATGAAAGCACGAGCGGAGCCCCCTGGCTCATAGGAGCGATTGTTCCCCTTTTTCGTGGGAATTAAACTACTGAACGGCGCTAGCTGTTCATGAAAAGGAAGCAGGCGTTCGTATGTTTTTACGTACTCGAGTCCTTATGGTCATATACTTGCAATAATGTACCTCAAAAAAGAAAACGAGATATACAAATAATAGTGTAACACTGTTAAATATTCCGTAAGTGAGCAAGGAGTAAATAGATATACACTCACATGTGACAGAGCTAAAAACAGAGCTCTCCTGTTCTTGCGCATAGACGGAATAATCCCTGTTTTAGGATAAATGTAAGGTGGTCCACGTCTTGATGGTCTCAAATAAAGAACACACAAATAGACAGAAGAATCCACATAGTGCAGTAGATACTAGAATCTCTTTGGGATAATGGATAAATATAAAGTATTGTACTCACATTTACAAGAGCGTGCCTCGCTCTAGTTTATAAGGTGTAGGTGGTATGATCCCCACCAAGGATTAAGATGGTAACCAGGAAAAAAAATATAATGTAATAATGGATATCTCAGAGTGATAAAAATATATAAAATAGTAACTGTTTATTATACACAAAAATCAATAAAAACGAATAAAAAACACTCTATGAGAAAGCCCATAAAAATCCACTTTATGCGTTTCACCTGTAGAGGCTTCTTCAGAAGTGTGGATAAAGTCCTTTTAATGTCCCACTATATAGGGAATCAAACTTAAAGCAATTGTCTTCATGTGTTTGAAAATTACTTACTGTTTCCTGGTTTTCACGTGCGTCATACCGAAAGTGACGCGGCGCCATCTTAACCAATAATATATTGGAGGATATGGGTTATGTTAACCACCGGTGGAACGCACGCATCATACCGGAAATGACGCGGCGTAACCGGACGATGGTATTCAATGCGTTCCACGAGTGGAACGCAAAAAAATGGCAGCAATAATAGTAGTACAAACGTATTCTATGCGTTCCACAAAAGGAACGCAAACAGAAAGACAGCGATTTTAATGATAGTACAATACTTCTATACTACTAATAAATATATTATGATAAATTACACAATGCATATAATATTGTAATAAAATCCTTAAATCAATTGATCTTAATGGAGTCACACCAATAAAGATTTAGCATGCAATTTAAAGTGACAGGTATAAACCCTCTTTCAATACATTATCACCATTGTAGAGCAAGAGCAAATGATAAACAGTTAAAAAGATACTGTTAAAAACTTCCATAGGAGATGATATAAAAAAATATATAAGTAAAATAAAATGAAAACTGTAAGAGCATAAAATACATTTCAATATCTTACAGTTGAAGGTATAAATAATATTATATGTAAAACTCTCAATAAAAGAAAAACACACCATATGAAAAGATCAACTTGACATACATGATAAATATAAACATTTTAGAAAAAAGGATGTATGTCAGTGTGTAATGGCAATAAAACCGTTAATATAAACAAGTAGCAGTATCTTATAACAAGATAAATACAGATAGTGGATGCAAAGAAAATAATGTAAAATCCATATAAAACTTGAGTAAATATAATGGAAATCAAGTATAAAAATTGATACTTAAAAAACAAAGGCTGTTGCCTTAAAAATATACATATGTGTGTGTGTAAAAATACGGAAAAAATATAAATATATTGATCTCAAAGAAACAACAAGTGTTTAAGAGGCAAGTATAAATATTATAAAAAATTAAAAAGATCAAAATCTATATTTAATCCATTCGGATGTAAAGTATCAATTTTAAATACCCATTCCATCTCCTTTTTTCCTATTTTTTTTAATAAAATCACCTCCTCTCCAATGGTTTTTTACTATCGTGATACCTATGAAAGTGAGAAATTTGGGATCATTGTTGTGCTTGCAGAAATGAGCAGACACTGAGTGTTTTTCATAGTTTTTTTCAATATTTCTGCAGTGTTCAGCTATACGTATTTTCAAAGGTCTGATAGTACGGCCAATATATTGGAGGCCGCAAGGGCATTCTAATAAATAATATTCTTACTTTCACAGGTAATAATTTCTTTAATGTTGTAAGTCTTATTATTATTATTCGATTTAAAGGTAGACCTACTCTTTTCTGTTGGCTTCGTTTTTTTGCAAGCTATACAGTTATTACATTTTAAAAACCATTGGCAAGGGGTGGGAAATGTTTTGTATGTGTATTTTCTCTTTGATCTTTAGTGTAATTGTTTGTAAGGTGCATTTTTAAGTTTGGAGCACCTCTAAACACAATGTGTGGTTTGTTAGGAATCATGTCTTTAAGGATAGGATCCTCTTTTAAAAGATGCCAGTGTCTATTCATTATTATTTTTAGATTTTTATTTTTAACATTATAATCCAATACTATGGGTAAAATAACTTGATTTTGTTGTTGAGGTTTTGTTTTATGTATAAGCTCTTTTTGATTAATTTTTAACGTTTGTTGAATAGTAGATTCTATCAATTCTTCATTGTAACCCTTATTTGTTAGACTGTTTTTAATCTTATTAGCCTGTTGTATAAAGACAGTATTATCTGAGCAATTTCTCCTAAGTCTAGTAATTTGGCTCTTTGGAATGCTATTGAGCCAAGCTTTATTATGGCAGCTTTTTGTATTAATGTAATTATTAACATGGACATCTTTAAAATGAGTTTTAGTATGGATAGTGCAATTTTCAATATAGATATTAAGATCTAAATAAGTGATTTCTTTATCGTTGATTTCGGAGGTTAAAATAATTCCCTCCTGGTTTGAATTTAAAAACCGAATAAAATCATGGGCTTCCTTTATTGGGCCTTTCCAAATAAAAATGAGGTCATCTATGTATCTGGAATAGGACACCAGGCTCGATGCCCAGCCATTCTTCCCATTCTGCCATGAAGAGATTGGCATAGCTGGGCGCGAACCTGGTAGCCATAGCCGTCCCTCTGTTTTGTAATTAAAAGGAGTCTTTAAACAAAAATAGTTGTTGTTTAAAATCAAATTAATACCTTCAATTAAAAAGTTGATTTGCTCTTGTTCCATAGAATTGTCTTTTTCTAAAATATTTTTAACTGCGTTACATCCTTTATCATGCTGTATGATGGTGTAAAGTGACTGGACGTCGCAGGTGATAAGTAAGAAATCATCTTGCCAGGTAATCTTTTCTAACTTTCTCAAGAGGTCTATAGTATCCCTAAGGTACGATTTAGACTTGATTACATATGGTTGGAGTAGAATGTCTATATATTCAGACAAGTTTGAAAGTGCAGAACCAATTCCAGAGACGATAGGACGTCCTGGGGGTCTGGTCAAATTTTTATGGATCTTAGGGAGAAAGTAGATCACCGGAATTTTTGGATGTACAACGTTTATATAGTGGAATTCCTTTTTATCTAAAATTCCTTTATCCAGAGCTTTTTTTAAGAACTATACTAATTTTTCTTTAATATTTTCTGTTGGATTTGCATTTAATTTAATATAGGTGGCAGAATCATTTAATTGTTTATGGGCCTCTTCCTCATATTGTTCTTTTGATAATATAACAAGGCCTCCACCCTTATCGGCAGGTTTAATCACAATGGACTTGTCATTATATAAATCTTTCAGGGTTTGTCTTTCATTTTTGTTTAAATTTGCCTTATCTTTATACTTATTATTATTTTCTAAATTTCTTATATCTCTTCCGACCTTATTTTCAAAAGTTTCTAAAGCACTAGATTTATAATGCGCAGGATAAAAATTAGATTTATTTTTGAGGTGGTTAACATAACCCATATCCTCCAATATATTATTGGTTAAGATGGCGCTGCGTCACTTCCGGTATGACGCGCGCGCGCGAAAACCAGGAAACAGTAAGTAATTTTCAAACACATGAAGACAATTGCTTTAAGTTTGATTCCCTATATATTGGGACATTAAAAGGACTTTATCTACACTTCTGAAGAAGCCTCTACAGGTGAAACGCGTAAAGTGGATTTTTATGGACTTTCTCATAGAGTGTTTCTTATTTCTTTTTATTGATTTTTGTGTATAATAAACAGTTACTATTTTATATATTTTTATCACTCTGAGATATCCATTATTACATTATATTTTTTTTCCTGGTTACCATCTTAATCCTTGGTGGGGATCATACCACCTACACCTTATAAACTAGAGCGAGGCACGCTCTAGTAAATGTGAGTACAATACTTTATATTTATCCATTATCTATAAGAGATTCTAGTTATCTACTGCACTATGTGGATTCTTCTGTCTATTTGTGTGTTCTTTATTTGAGACCATCAAGACGTGGACCACCTTACATTTATCCTAAGACGGGGATTATTCCGTCTATGCGCAAGAACAGTAGAGCTCTGTTTTTAGCTCTGTCACATGTGAGTGTATATCTATTTACTCCTTGCTCACTTATGGAATATTTAACAGTGTTACACTATTATTTGTATATCTCTTTTTCTTTTTTGAGGTACATTATTGCAAGTATATGACCATAAGGACTCGAGTACGTATTTACGTTTCACAGTAAGGGCGCGGTTTCCTTTTTTCTTTCAGTTCACTTTTGTTTTACCACAAGGTAGGGAATCCTTGTGTGGTCACTGCTGCCTACTCCCTATTGTATCTATCACTATAGTGAGCGCCTAATCCTACCTGTTCGTATGTTTTTAGCGGTGTTCAGGAAGTCGAGTGTCCGATTTTAGTTCCAGGCACTCGACGACCAAGTCCCGCTGCCTCCTTTTGTGCAAACAAGATGGCCGCTGTTTCCTCTTTCATGTGGCGTTTGGCTACACGAATGGCGGCCACCCACAGAGAGAGCTCAATCGACAGTTCCCTTTGTAGATAATGAGCCAGCAGGGTGGTCGGTGTTCAGTGGTTTAATCTACCGAACAAATAAAACAAAAATAACGAATGGCCTTACAAAGTCCCGAATTAAAAGGCTATTTTTTCACAATTGTGTATTAATATTGTTTTTGTATTTTATTGTACCCTATAGTATCAATGCAATGTTTTGTGGGCCCAGGACATATTCAAAAACTAGAGAAATCTCAATGTATCTTTCCTGGTAAAATATTTTATAAATAAATATTAGACATGTGCAATTGGTTTCATTCCGAATGTCAATTCGGATGAATTTCTCAGATACTTCCAAATATCCGAATATATGAATTGACGAAGTTCCGAATTGCTGAAGTACTAATATACCCAGTGGAAGAATGAAGAATGTTACAAGCCCTCACCTATGCCGCACGAGTGGGGGCTTCTAACCTGAAAGAGGGACCTATTGTCCTTCTCCCCAGCCCACACCCCTGAATGGTGGATGGGGGCCATAAATACCAATAAGGGGGGGGACCTATTGTCCTCCCCCCCGGTCCCCACCCCTGAGCGGCGGGTGGGGGCCCTAAATAAAAATGTAACTCCCAAAACCCATAGTCACCCCCATCCCAACAAAATGAATGAACCCCTACCTATCCCCCTCACCGTAAAAATAGTGAGGGGGGACCAATAACTAGGTACCTGTAAAAAAAAAAAATAAAGAATTACCATTTGATGTTTTTTTCTAAAATCTTCCTTTTTCAGCCCCATAATAACCGTCGCACTTTGAAGAAGAAAAAAAAAACGAGCGCAAAAAAAAAAAAATTCCATCTTCACCTGGCGAGGGCTCCGCGCAGACTGAGCTCTGCAGGGCGGGGGAAGGCTTATAAAGCCTTGCCACGCCCTGCAGTTAGGCTCAGAGCACTCTGGTTGGTTGGTTTAAGCCATCCAATCAGAGCACTCTCACAGGTAGCAGGTATTTAGGGGCCCCACCCACCGCTCATGGG